GTGATCTCTTTCTCTGTCAGTGGAGGTTGTACCTATGAAGCTATATCCCTCTATCTTTGAGCGTATTCTTTAAAAGACTCATTTGAGTTTTTCTCCAGATTTTGCAAAGATAAACGATCAGGGGCCAAATCGATGATGTGTCGATATTGGCTGATGAAAGTCATGAGCCATATCGCTCCAGGAGCGAATGTGGATTCTATCCAACTGAACATACCACCTGGCAGCAGAATCAGTAAGACTATCCTGGAAGACATGCATCAAGAGTTTTTCATCATGTGCATGAGCTGCCATCTTCTTGCAATACATGGTGATGTGGGTTTTAGGGCACTTTGTACCGTCATATTTTTCAAATTTCGGTACTTTGAACTTATAGGGGATAACCACATCAGGAACTAGGCAGAGCCCAGCAGCATCAATTGACCCATAACAGCTAAATCCTTCCACAGCCCGTAGCCTCTGCTCTAGCATGCTAATTTTAGAGCTTTCCTCAGCTTCCACCCTTATCTTTTCCTTCTCCTTCTCTTCTAGATCAGAAATTGGTTCTGCTACCTTTTCAGTGAAGACAGGATTTATATAGCTATTATACTGCCCTGGGTTGAAAGCTGATGGCATTCCAGGACATGTTGGATATGCAAAATGTTATGGTGGGACCTCTTGGGCAGACTGGGCTTGAGGTGGGCCAAAACCTGAAGGGTACAATGGGTCAGCCACTTCTTGCTGGCTTGTACTTCCTTCAACTCCTTTTCCTTTATTCATATTATTGAGAGCCTCCAAAATTTTGCTAAGTTCATTTTCAATATTCTCCTGAGCTTTTTCTAGCTTTTCAAATCTATGAGAACTTTCCTCCTCCATTTGCCTTGCTCTGGATCTTGTGTTGTATGGATGAGCAAGGTTTTCGCTAGATGGAGCTATCCTTGGACCTTGAGTACTATACTTATGATTAGAAATGTTATGCTGTACCTTATGTATGATGCTTTGATACACAAATGAAATGTACATTTTTTGAATGAAATCTAGTATGAAATGAATGCAAATAATTGTGTTGAAACATGTCATGAAAAGAATACAGATGCATACAATCAGACAAACAACATAGTTAGTTCCGTGGGTGAAACGTAAGTGATGTTGATACATAATGTCACATATGATAAAAATAATACACAAAGTTAAACAATCAAAATGATTAGACAAACATTCTTTTTGTGTCCTAATTTCAGGGTATATCTATCATTGGGTAGAAAGGGCTCTATCTTAGGTGTAGGCACTCTTAAGGTTCACTACATGCGGTTTTAAGGTCAAAGTCTAAAAGTTCTCAAATTGTTCCTTACATCCTTGTCCATCACAGACTAGTAAGGCACCTTAATCCTCACCCATTATAGGCTACAAGCGAAAAAGGTTCAATTTGAGTGAGAGTATTTCGCTAGCCACTGCGGAGGTATTAGACCTCACGAAAGCAATAGGTACTTTACTCCCTCTTAGAGGGACGGAGCTCGGGTGTAGAGCTTATGTTATGCACATGCACATGAATGACATAATTAACAAGATAAATAAACAGGAATGAATAATAACACATATATACAAAAATGGTTCAATTTTATTAGGCTTTTGGATAACACAAATTATTTGCTGGCCTGACTCTCAAAGTCCCCAGTGGAGTCGCCAAGCTGTCGTAACGTCTAGATCCGGGGATCTATCGCTAGACATTGACTTTTAGGGAGTCGCCACCAATCTTTTTTTATCTAGGTGCGATTGGTCACCTAAGGAATCTGTCCTTTCAGGGAACACCTAAGCTTAAGGGTCCCTAAAAGAATAGGTTCAGGTCTGCTAGCCAGAACAGGGTTCGGGAGTTCGGTTACGTGTGAGGAAGGTTATAGCACCCTCACAACGCCCATCAAAAGATGATACCAGCTTAAATTTGTGTTATCCAAAAGCCTTAAAATTTTACCAAGTAATTAATTATTGAAAATTATTCTCAATTGACTCTAATACTTTTAGTAGAAAATTGAGAAAATTCCCTCACCTCAAGAGTATGCAAGAAAAACTACTGTTTCACTTGCAGAGGCTCCGTCGTCGGATTATTTAAAGAAAAAAAATAAAATCAAAATTAAGATAGAAAGGAAGGAAAGAATGATTTTTTTTAGGGAAAATTGATACTTTCAACTTTTTCTCAAAAATATTTTTTGAAAATTTTGATTTTCAAGGAAAATTGATACTTTCAACTTTTCCTCAAAAACCCTTTTTTTGAAAATTTATTTCTAAGGAAAATTGATACTTTCAACTTTTCCCCAAAAATATTTTTTTTGAAATTTTGATTTTCAAGGAAAATTGATACTTTCAACTTTTCCTCAAAACCCTTTTTTTGAAAATTTATTTCTAAGGAAAATTGATACTTTCAACTTATCCAAAAATATTTTTTTTGAAATTTTGATTTTCAAGGAAAATTGATACTTTCAACTTTTCCCTAAAAATATTTTTTTTTTGAAATTTTTAAAAATAAATAAAAAGAATATTACATAAACCTAATCTAATAAATAAAAAATAAAATAACCAAATAAACAAAGAAATAAAAAAAATTCAAAAAAAAAAAAAAAAAACCTGGAGGGCTCGGATCGCGGCTCGGCTCGGCTCGGCTCAAGGAAGAGAAACGGCTCGGGGGGAGCGGCTTGGCGGATCGGCTCGGCTCGGAGGGGGCTGGCACGCGTGGGTCAGAAAGCGGGTCGACGATCGGGTCGGGTCGGGTTCGGCAAAACGCGCGGATCCTCTAGGTTACTTAAGGCCAAAACGACGTCGTTTTGGGAGGGTATAAAAGGTAATCCCCTTCGTTTTTTCGGCAGAACGCTCCTCCCTCTCTCTCTCTCTTCTTCCCTTTTCCTCTCCTTTCTCTCTAAAAACTGAAGAACACCGGTGCCGGATTCTGAAAAATGTCGCCGAAATCTGGAAATTTTACCGGAAGTTGGCCGGAAGATCGCCGGTTTCTGGGATTCTTCGTCGGAAACTGGGTTGGTCGCCGGAAACTTCAAGGTTGGCCGGAATTGTTGTCGGAAAATTCAAATTTCGCCTGAATTTTGGCCGGAATCTGGAAATTTCTCAAAAATTTCCAGAAAAATTTTTCGCCAAAAATCTCTAAAAATTTTTTCTCACTCCTAGAACACTCCTAAACTTTTCCTAGCTTTCTATACGCCTCCTTTTCTCTCAAATCAGTAGCTTTGCTTACTGTTTTCTGTGTGTCTTGCATTATGTTCCAGAGTCCCTTTTATAGGGATTGATCAGGAGTTCTTGATCAATCTCAATTTCTCCTTGGACGGGAATTCAATCTTTGAATCCCACTGGACTCTTCTGATTGAATTCCCATTTCCAATGGGATTCGTCAGCCTTCAATCTCAGCCCTCCAAAATCAAAATCAGATAAAATAAAAAACTAGATAATTAGAGAAGATAAATCAGCAAATATTATAGGATAAATAATAATAAAAAAATATATCAGATATATAATTAGATAAGTAAAAATACAAAAATGAATAAAATAAAAAAAAGATAAAAATATATATATATACATAAATAATAAAATACACATAAATATTAACAAAAAATAAATAAATAAATATATACATATATTAATACATAATAATAATAATAAATAATACAATACATAAAATACAAAAGAAGAAAAAAAGAGAAAAAAAATACAAGATAAAATTGAATTGGGCTTACCCATTTGGACCAGGCCCAATTGATCTGGGTCGGACCCAATTTGGTGTCTACAAGGAGCACTCAAGAAGATTGTTTCAGCTGTGTCCAAGAAACACCCAAAGTTAGATTATAATGTTGAGAAGGGAAATGGAAATATATAAAAAGGAAAAATAAGTTTTTTTTTTATTTTTTAATTAATATTTTTATTATTTTTGTCTCATAAAATTTATATGTTTAACTTTCTATTAGTATCGTCCTTTAATTTCAAATTTAAACTATTGATCCTAATAACAAATTATGTTAATAATGCACAAAAATGTAGTAATTAAATTATGTACAAATTAAATAACTTATATTTTATAAATATAAGAGATCTGATTTTAGAATGCACATACATTGCTTAGATGCAAACCTGGGCTCATAACAGTTGATGGTTGATCGAATCTGATAGATTCACCCTCTGAAACAAGTTCTTGTTCTGTCCACCACCCACATTCAAAGCCCTTAACATTGGAAAGAACTTGTTTCAGTTGCATATCATAACGAATTAATAACAACGGTATCAGGAAGTATCTTTTTTATTTTTTTATTTACTGCATCTTTCTAAGTACAAATTGATTTTCAGATTGTAGTTGGAACAGCTACCCGAGTAATAAAGGGTTTCTGCTCTATCTGTCAGGGTTTTCATTTCCCTTTCAAACAATGAATTGCGTTCCAAAACAAAAGGCATTTGAATTGGTATTGAGTCAACATTCTGGGTGCCAAGAATGAAGTGCTATATTGGGATGGAAATCGAGAACAACTGAATGGCCAGCAATTCAACTGAAGATTTCTGGCCAAAATCCATAAACATTCACTTTCTGCAAAGAATTCTTGCTGGTTCTCTTGCTCATTCTAACTCGCCTATTAGTTCAATATTTTTTGGATGCTTTCAGTGTCACTACTCTGAATGTGAGAAAGTAGCAGAGTAGCTGTTGTCTTTAGAATTTTTTATGAGACACTACATATTAAACTTGAAACAAGATACTCCATAGTTGATATACAGCAGTTTTTGCCAGCACAGGTACCATTTATGCAGGAGAAAATGTCAGCTTTCTTCATGTACTTCTCTGAAACTCCATCGATTTTCTTGAGCTAAAATTGTTCATTTATCAATTTTTTCTGCAATTTATGCATAATGGTACATTTGTTCTGTCTTCCTTCTTTTAATTAGTACTAAAGTTTTTATTCGTATTAAAGAATTATATTCGAAGTACTAAAGTTTTTAGTGATAAAGTTTTAATTCGGACACAAGAATTGTCATATCTAAAATGCGAAAATAAAAATAATAATAATAATATAAGGTAGGCTGGACGGCGTCGTTTCACTCGGCTCTCAATAAATAGCGAGCATTTGCCCTATTTGGCTGCATTTCCCTTCTTCCTTAGATGGCAAAGAGGTTGGGCTCTCGGCTCTTCATTAACAGTTAATTTCCTTTCTCTCTTTCCCTCTCTCACTTTTCAGCTTCTATCAGATTTATTTTATATTTGAGGTATTGATTCTTACTCTTCGTTGCAGAGTTGTCATATTTCACAACCCGCCATGAACTTAAAACTTTATTTTCACAATTTGGCGTTGTTAAAGATGGTACTGAATTTTTTCACTCAATTTGTCGTCTTTCTTTCTCTTTTCTTTGAAAATCATATCATTTGGCCGGTTCTTCAATTGGGTTTTGTTTTCTTTTTTGGTGAGTGTAGCTAAGGTAATCAGAGACCCCAAAACTCTAAGGTCTAAAGGGTTTGGTTTTGTTACATTTGAAACTGAGTCTGAAGCACAGAAGGCGATGAAAGCCATGAATGGCCGGGTAATCCTCTTATTCTCCTTCACTGTGCACTTTTTTTGCATCTGGTTCTGTCTGGCAATTGTGATTTGGCACTGATTGTTAGGTAATGAACCTGATTTACTGTAAGAATGTTAATCAATATGATTAATACTCTGCTTAATGCCGCTTTAAAGTATGTTTTCCCATTAGGATTTGTTACGAATAGTGTGCTTTTAATAAGAGTAAACGCGATTTCAGCACTTTCTTCGTAATAAAAAAATTTTAAAAAAATTGAATTCACTAGGATGCCCCAGAAGGGAATTTTTCATGAATTCATTAAGTCGGTCATAAATAAGGTTGCTTGAACCTGTTTCTGATGTACTTGATCAGATGCCCTGTCTTAAGATGTCTTTTTCTTTTTTTTTTTTGTTATTCTGCACAGTTTGTCCGCGCGAGGATGATGTTTGTTGAATTCGCAAATGATAGAAGCCCTGAGATTGATTCTGACAGCTGAAGAAAATGGCATTTTTCATTGTCCAATAATGCAAGGATTTGCTTCAAAAACTTGGGCATTTACTGACAGTTTTTACGGTCTCTCTGGTAATAATCTATGCTTGGAGAACTCAGCTGTATTTATAGACTATAGCTGCAGCAGTAATGAGCAAAATCCGTATCAACATTCAGCATTGTGATTGTCATTATCTTCCTGAAGAAAAATCTCATACATGGTCATTTTTTTAACATTCATTTGGCCGATGTACATTACACATAGGTTAGAGTTGTCGATATAGTGTTTCTTCCTGATAGTCCTCGAACTTGGATAGCCACAGCTAAGATAATACTATTGTTAAACAAAAATGCTCTTAAGCAATTAAACATCTAAGCTAACATAAGTATAATTAAATAATCAATCATTATAAAAATTAATAATTTAACGTATTTTAGTTTAATCAATTTATATCAACAGATAAAAAAAAATTTATTAATTGTAAAAAATTATAAATATATATATTATATCAATCAATTCTCACAATCAATACTCATGAATTTTTTCAAACATATTCTTTTATATTTTTATGAAGTATTTTTAATTAAAATAAACATATATACATGTTGTTCAACATATATATATGTGAACTATCTAATTTTTTTTTAGTTCAATCAAACATATACAATAATAAAATTTTTTTCAATCTCATCTAATTTTATGAGATATTTATCTAAATAAAATCTTTCAACTTTTTTATATATATTTTTTATTTTATGGAGATTTTATTTATTTATAATATACAAATTTATTCATCAAAAATCATTTATTTTAAATTTTTTCTCTTATAAATTTTTTTGTCTATCAAATAATATATAATCAATCTCATTTTTATCCAATTTTTTATGAAATTTCAATTAATCCACCAATAGGTGATTAATTCAATTGATTAAGGCTTATCTTATTTGACAAAAAAGTGTTTGGTTCGAATCCTGTTAATGTCTATTTATTGAAGTTATTTTAAATACACGACTTACAATCACTTATTTTAAATTGTTAGATATTTTATATTTATCTTAATTTAAAAACTAAACAACTTATTTATCTCAAATTTAAAAAAAAAAAAATTTCAATCAATTCCAACAATTGTTAACAGTCAAATATTACTGAAACAGGAAAAGAAAGAACCGGCTGTTAACCTGCTATTTGCCTACTCTGTCACGTGTTTAGCTTCCTCTTTCAGGTTTTGGGCATCATTATGCCATGACTGAAAACCCATTCCTTTGGGACCTAAGATGTCGATGCCCCAATTCCCTACCAACTGAAAAATCTCAATTATAACTGCAAAACTTGACTTATCGGCCAAGAGGTAGCTGCATCAATCTACTCATTTTGCCCTTCAAAATCCAATCGAACTCTTAAACCAAGCAGAGCTACCTACGTTACATAATCAAAAGAGACGCATCAAAAGTCATCTGCTTCCTAGCCACTAAAATAAAAATAGGAACGACAGTTGCTAAGATGACGACGATGAAGATGATGAGATGAGCGAAATCTTCGTCAAGATTACAACAATAATAACAACAAATTAAATTTTATATCTCATATTCTAAGATTAATTGCATAAAATATATATAAAAAAATTATATTATATCATAATTCATTTCTATCAACAATTTTTTCATCTATTTTTTTAATCATTATATTTATATTTTTGGTAATTTATCTTTAAAAATTTTAATTTTTTTTAATTTAAAAGCTTATTTATTTTAATTGATGCACAAATAAATCCACGTTTACATATTCAACTCATTTCAAATGATACTTTCTTATCTTTTTCTCAATTTAATTAGTTTTATTTTTTTTAAATCTCTTCATTTTTTAATTTTTTTAATTTTATCACACATTCATTTAAAAATTTTCATATTAGCTATGCTCATTTCTTCTCATATTATTTCTTAAAAACTTGTACTTAATTTCAACACAAATCTTACAATTGTTTTATACAATTTCACCACCTCACCTACCCTCAATTCATTAAGATCACAAGGATGTAAAAACAAAAATTGTCCAACTGGCCCCAAATTCAAGCCATTGCAAGCATGACTCACAAGCTACGTAAAAAGTATGTCAAATCAGAACAATTGTATGATTGTCCCGATGATGGATTGGTTAAAAATCACGCATCAGGCATTTAAGCTCTGCAAAATATGGCTTGCGCTGTTAACGACAAACTCAATCACAATAACCCAATTCAAACAGATAAATTGCTCCCCATATACAGCAATCCCTTGTGTTCTGAATTTTTCCTTCAAAAACATTAAACATTCTAACTCTAGCAAACAATTAGTACTCAACCATAAAATGGTTTGACAACAGCTGAAATCAAAATTGATTTCGAGTGTACAAGGTATTGTTTAAAGCTAATTGTGTAACCCTTCTATGACCAAAGGGTAGGAGTAAAAAAATAAAAATAAAAAAACCAAAAATTGATTTAAAAAATATAATATTCAATTCAGTTTAAATTATTTTTATTTAATTTATATTAAATTTAAATATTAAATATATATATTAAGTTTAAATTAGATTTTGAATTTAAAGATGAAAATAAAATAAAACTAAACCAATAATTTTTTTAATTTTATAAAATAAAAATATTAATTTTATATCAAAATTTTTTTATATAGTAAGATAATATATAAAAAAAATTTAATTTTAAAAAATTAATAAACTAATCCAAATCAATAAAATTAAATTTTTTAATTTTATAATATTATATAATATCCAAAAAAAATTAAATTAAATTTGATCTAAACTATTAAAAGGAAAATATTCCTTGAAGCAGATTGTTATGTCAAGAACAGAAACAAGTAGTTTCATTTCCATTAAAATCACGTACAAGATAATGGGATTCTAACAATAATAATAAAATCTTCAATTTTGCTTGAAACTTTTTTCCCCTACACATCAACATGACAAACAAATCCTAAAGACCCCAAAATCACAAGGAAAACAAAAGCCTAATAATATAAGTTTCTTAATCAAACTAAGCCTTCTTCGGGGACTTGGTAGCCTTTGATGGAGATTTGGGTTCCTTGGGAGCCTTATCAGTCTTCTTCGGCAAAAGAATAGGGTTGATGTTCGGTATGACGCCACGTGAGCGATGGTGACGCGGCGAGAAGCTTCCCGAGTTCTTCGTCATTCCTCACGGCGAGTAACACGTGCCTTGGGATAATCCTGTTTTTCTGTTGTCACGTGCTGCATTTCCAGCATTCCAGAACCTGACTTCAAATACAAATTCCCCATATTAAGAAATATAAAAAGACAATAATAATACTCAGTCAATGATTAATTTAAATCTCAGTTACCTCAGCAGCTAAGTACTCAAGAACGGGCAGCAAATAAACTGGAGCTCCGGTTCCGACCCCTGCGATACCTTCCTTTTTTCAAGTAACGGCCGATCCTTCCGACGGGGAACTGCAGTCCAGCTTTGACGGACCTTGAAACAGGCTTCTTCTTTGGACCACCGCCTTTTCTTCCTCCAGCCCCCTTCTTTACCTTTCCTCCAACATCCATTTTGCTTCGAACCAACCCTGATGCTTCAACAAATAAAACTCTCAGCTTTGAAATTAGACGCTGTGGATTGGAATTCACGAAAGATTATGTACCGACAATGCGAGGTTCGAGTATTTTATAGCGGTGGTTTTGGAAGAGGTGGAGCGGGGGCGAATGGTCAATGACTGCCGTTAGATGTGGAACTTATCGACGGTTGGAAGTTATTCGGGTGCAATCCGTGTGAATTTGAATGAACCATGAAGAGCAAGTTCAGATTTTTTAAAAATTTTTTTCCAATTGACGAATAATTCGCCGCCATTTACAAATATTTTTGGTTTCCCGCTTCTGATTTTCTGGATTTTAGAAGGCATTATTTGTTAATGCCTCCCGTATAAAGTACAGAGGCTAAATTTCCGGTTTTTTTTTTTAATTTTCATTTGACCTTGTTATGATTAAATCTTTATAATTGAAATTAAGAGTTGATATTTTATCAATATATTACTCCATAATTGTAAATAATTTGGATTTTTGTTTACAAAAATTCACAATATAAAATTAAAAAAAATTATAAATATTAAAATTTAAAATTATCTCTTAAAAAAATATTATGATTTGCATTAATAAGATCGTACCAAAAATAGTTTTGATTCTAGTAACTGTGTTGAGATTTAGATCAAGTTCAAAATTAGATAATTGTGATCCTAATAACTTAATTAGTGGCTTTTTAATCAACGAGATAATTAATATAAAATCATGCAATGTCTATAATTAACAAGAAAATTTTTTATTCTATCATGGGAAGAATTAATATTCAATATTATCAAAGAACTTTGTTTTATTCACAATTTCCAAATAATATATATATCTCTTACTTAAGGATTAGATTTTTTTTTTTCATTCATTTATCTTTTCTATATTTCATACCAAATGGAGTGAATTGCTGTCATCAACTAAACAACAAGTAAGTTGAATTCAACTTAGGACTTTACAAATAAAGGTAGAGTTTCCGTTATCACTTTGTTTGATACGAAAGAAAGAAATTCTCATGATATATATATAAACAATTTCCAAATTAAAAAATTTGGTACAATGACTGAGTTACAATATAAAACATGTTGTAAATCTCAATTATTTTAAAAAAAAAAAATTTCATATGCTAACGTCGTACAGCGTATATTGGGCTTGGTTTTGTCACGGCCTTATATCCGGCCCATATGACTTGCGCTGGAGGATCCTGAAAAGGGCTAAGGCCGTGTGTGGGGGCACTCTCATGAATCCAAGTTGGTTTCGAGTCTACTCCAAAACCAACCGCGAAGCAACCTGACTTAGGGGCATAGCCGACATTTAGCCTTTAAACCAACGTGTCACATTATAATTGAACAGACAACCTTTTCTCTTCCCGTTATCTCGTACGGCCTATCGTGATTCATGATATTCAAAATAAACAAAAAAAAATTAAAAAAGGGTGGAGTCCTTTTATCATTATCTCAATTCCCTTGTGAAAACCCCAATTTCCTTTCCATCTTTTTAGATTTTTGTTCCCGTAGATTTTCTCTGCAAGTTCTGCTAAAAAAGCCATGGTGAGTTGTTCGTATTCTTTTTTTTCTATTATTTAATTTTTCTTTTTCAGTTCAAGTGTTGCTTTTTTATTTGTGCTTCTTTGACTTACTGTAGAAATTTTACTTTTTTTTTTTATTAATGTGGA